TTCTTAGTTTGCATTTACTGTGTACAAATCCTTCTCAAGAACGCTGCTCTTAGACTCCTGGGTGACTCAGTTGGTTAAGCGTCTGCCTTCGGCTCAGGTCATGATCTCAGGGTCCTGGGATCAAGCCCCACATCAGGCTCCCTGCTCACTGGGGAGCCTGCTTTTCCCACAGTCTTTTATTTTAAAAGATAAACAAAAATTTTAAAAATAATAAAATCATAACAAAACCAACAAAAAACCCTGTTCTGGAGCTGGGAAGATGCCTGCCGTTACAGTGACCATAGCAAATTTGCTCTTTGAAATTATCCCTGTAGTTCTATTCTTTTGAACTTTAGAAATAAAAAAGTCAATTGGAGCCTTCAGATTTTGACCAGAAAATAAGGGATCAGATTTCTTTTCTTTAAAGGGATGATCATTTCAATGGGATGAGTATATTTCCTCTACATACAAATATTTATGCCCAAGTTTATCAACTGGAAAGCACTAGAAAGGGGCTTTTTCTTTTTATGTCTCATTGACATTTTCAATCTAATAACTTGCATCAGTCCTGTAGCTAAATCCTAAGAGTTTAGCCCCATAATCTCTGGAAATGAGATTATTCTTTGAGAATTTAAAGGGTAATCTGGCCACATTTGAAAGTCATTATCATGTTCAACATCTGAAAGAACATGAAATCAATCTCAGAAGATGGAAAAAATACCAATTCATGTCAATTCCTGTCTTTCCCTGGGATGCCAAAGGGGATGGGGTGGAGACTGGACAGGAGAAGCTTGGGAGTCCCAGGGGCTGGCCCTGGAGAGGTTTCTCCTTAGACACCTACGTGGTGGAGAAGAGCAGAGCCAGTGCCGAGAACAGTGACCACAGGAGGAAGCCAAGGGGCAATTTTTTTTTTTTGGAAGTTGCTTTAAGGATTATGCATTAACACTGACGTGCTGATTTCCAGCCCACACCTTATTAAAACACTGAGTTGAAAGTCACCATGACCCAGCAATTGCACTGCTGGGGATTTACCCCAAAGATACAGGTGCAGTGAAACGCTGGGACTCCTGCACCCTGATGTTCATAGCAATGTCGACAATAGCCAAACTGTGGAAGGAGCCTCGGTGTCCACCAAAAGATGATGGATAGAGAAGATGTGGTCTCTGTATACAGTGGAATATTCCTCAGCCATTAGAAATGACAAATACCCACCATTTGCTTCGACGTGGAGGGACCTGGAGGGTATGATGCTGAGTGAAGTAAGTCAATCAGAGAAGGACAAACATTATATGGTCTCATTCATTTGGGGAATATAAAAAATAGTGAAAGGGAATGGAGGGGAAAGAAGAATAAATGAGTGGGAAATATCAGAAAGGGAGACAGACCATGAGAGACTCCTAACTCTGGGAAACGAACTAGGGGTGGTGGAAAGGGAGGCGGATGGGGGGTGGGGGTGACTGGGTGATGAGCACTGAGGGGGGCACTTGATGGGATGAGCACTGGGTATTATTCTATATGTTGGCAAATTGAACACCAATAAAAAATAAATTAAAAAAAAAAAGAAAAAAGAAAGTCAAAAGTCACCATGACCTTCTCTGGCCCAACATAATGTCCTTTTTCCAATCCTCATTCTTTTGTTTCCTACTTGCTCATTTGACCCTATTTCAAACACTGGATGTTTGGTGATGTCCTAACCCTACGCCACCCTACTCCTTAGCCTGTCACCAACTCTCTGCTCTGAATAATCCCCACGTGTGAGCCCAGTCATGACACACTCCCCTCTTCCTTTGATTCCCGTTTGTTGAGCTCACACAAGATTCTGTCTCATTTAATCATCAGAACATGTGTCCCCTGCCCTGCCAGTTCAGGTACCAATTCAGGCTCCTGATGGAACATAGCCTTACACTGATCCCTTCACCGTGGTGTGAATCCCTGTGACTGTCTTTCTCGGTGTGCATAAATCACATTTGCTTATTCAGACTGGAGATGCTTAAAAATAGAACATACGCGTGGTGACTTGAGCATGTATTTTAGAGTCAGATCTGTGTTCAAACAGTGCTGTTCCTCATAAGGAATGGGACCAGGTCCCCAAAGCTCTCTAAAGCCAACTTTCTTCATCTTTAAAATGTAAATGTCAACACTATTCACACTGAGAGGGAATAAGAGAGTAAATGAGAAGATCTATGTAAAATATGTAGCATGTACTGGACTCTCGATAAATCATTTCTTTTTTTTTAAATAAATCATTTCTTCTTGTGTTTTTAATTAATGTCTCTCCTATCATCCATTCTAGAAGCACAATCGGTGAGCTCAATTTTGGCTTGCTTGATTGATTGACTGATTGAAACTAAAAAGATTAAGGCATTTGGGATGTGCTGGCTAATCATCCAAATCCTCCTCCCACACCCTCTCTATATGGTCAATAATAAAAGTGTTTATCTCAGTAAATCGCTTAAATTACTCATCAATAGCGTATTTTTTAAGAAAATGCTAAATGCCGGGAAAAATAGGCTCACAATACTTTTCATGCATCTTTTATTTTTTTTATGTTTTTTATTATTTATTTATTTTTTTACATATTTTTAAAAATATTTTATTTCATTTTTTTCATTTTTTATTTATTTTCTCTTTTTTTAACCAAATTTTTTTTCCATTGGTGTTCAATTTGCCAACATATAGAATAACACCCAGTGCTCATCCCGTCAAGCGCCCCCTCAGTGCCCGTCACCCATTCACCCCCACCCCTCCGCCCTCCTCCCCTTCCACCACCCCTAGTTCGTTTCCCAGAGTTAGGAGTCTCTCATGTTCTGTCTCCCTTTCTGATATTTCCCACTCATGCGTCTTTTAAATATTAATAAAGTTATTCCCGGTGTCATTTACCAAGGTCTATAATGTGAAAATACAACACCTCGTTACTATTTGGCGACTTCACTGACTGCGAGTTATTTTATTCGGCCTTATTTTTACTGGTGATTGGACATGGTAAACGTTGCCAAAGGAGAGTATTTGCCAACACAGAATATCGAGGTGGAGATCAAGGAACTCCTTAAAATAAAACCTGGCATCTTGGCACCGAATCCTACATATTGGGCAGGAGTAAAGTCCTCCTGGTAAAACCACAGGACTTGGAGCCAGCCCCCCAGTGATGGCAGCCTTATTGAAATAACCGTGTCCCTCAACACGAAAGCATCCAAGGCCCCTGGTTAGCTGCTGCAGAGGCGATTGTTTACACTGGCACTTACTGGTAAAGGGAAGGGGTGAAACCCTAGACGTGCGCCCAGGCGGGCCTGATTTCTGATTCCACAGCCCCAAGTGGAAGTGAGGGCAGTGACTCAGAGCATTGTGACGGCGCAGCTGTCGCCGGGGTGCCACTCAGGCCCTGCTCAGGCCCTGCTCAGGCCCAGGGGCCCGTGCCAGAGGGACAATAGCTGGAAGGTGATCGGCATGTCACTGCTTGGCCGACACAGTCTCACGACCGGGGAGGGGGGGAGACAGGTCTCCTCGATACCTAGAAGCTCATCTTCACTGACTCCCAAGTGGGTCCCCAGGGCCACCCCACTGCTGGGGGCTGGGTCCCTGCCTGGGAAAACCAGGCCACTGACCGTTTTCATAGAGAGCTCGGTGATTTCTTTCTAATATATTGACCCAATTAATTTTTCTGGGAGCCACTAGGTCACTGGGGAAAGAAGCAGCCTGGTTCACTGGACACATTGGTTTTGCACCGATGTCTCTTCTGTCTTTGGAACGTTGCGTATAAATCATTCCAGTCCGAGAAGGTGAGCAGCATGAAAAGCATATACCGAGGCAGATAAGCATGCAGCACCTGCCAATATGTCCCATCATCGATACGCTCCTTTGTCCTATGGAGCCACCTCTATTTCCTTAAGTCTCTGTTAATAGTTATTATTTTGGAGCTTCTCAGAAGGATTGGGAAGCAACACACAATGAACAAACTCCAAACCTGCTCATAAAAACATGCAAATAAACTCCCTGTATAATATGCCATTTTTTTTTATCTTGGCATGTTATTTTTTACTTAATTGCCAACATATTGCCATTCTAAATTGTTCTTCTTAACAATTTGATTTACTTTTAAAAATATATGTTGCCTAAAATAGCCATATATATATATATTGCTTGCCCAAGGATGCCCTTATAGACACCTGCATTTCATTCACAAATTAAGGCAAACTAGGGTTAAAGATCACAAGCCTAAAAAGTATATTGTTTTGTTTTGTTTTCGAACAGACTATACAAAATACTTATGTTTATTGGACAATTCTCTGAACAGGCCACCTCCGCCGGGAAGTCTTTCCTGACTCTTCCCAGTGAGGATTAGGCCCTTTCTCTCTGTGCTCCCATGGTACCCTGTCTTCACCTGTATTTATCCGGTGTATCTGTTTCCTCGTCTAGACTAGGGAGCCCTGTGGCAGGGACATTACATTCTTGTCTCTCCAGCACCCAGCAAAATATCTGACACCTGCTAGGTGCTTCAAAGGTGTTCACAAGATGAATGAACAGTTGCTTGATTATTCTATGACTTTCCAGTCTATCCATCTAGAAGAAAAAAAATTGTTTTTTTTCTGACAATAGTGACAGCAACATAATTGGCTAATTGATGAGTTAGTCATTGAGATCACCCCGTCATGGACTATTTGATGACTTAGCTCACGGTCTACAAATAGGACCCTCTTTTAATGGCTTGGAGGGATGGGCTGAATTTTACCTGCTACTACGAAAATCGTTCACATCAACAACTGGAACCCCGGCAGCACAGCCTTCGAAGTGTTGCTGCTAACTCGATGCCGGGAAAGGAGGTCATCTGTACATGAGTTGCAGTCCCTGGGTTTGAAGTTCAGAGCAGAGAGGCGGGGGGGTGTCATTTTATATTGAGAATGGAAAGTCAGGAGCCTTGCGAGCCGAGCACGTGTTGCAACTGCTTCCAGGGAACATCGTCAGACCAATAGCAGCCTGCGAAGAACTTTTATGGACGGTATAAATATTTTGAGCTCGGGGCATCAGCAGCAGCTGACCTTTCCTCGCCTGCGGACCAGCTGTTCGGGAGCATCCCGAGGAGAGCAGGCACCGCGGAGACTTGGATCCCCCCGGAGAGCCCCGCGCTGCACCCAGTGCCGCGATGTCCCTGTTGGAAGAAAGCCGGCCCTTCGCCCAGCAGTTATCCAATGTCTACTTCACCATACTGTCCCTCTTCTGTTTCAAGCTTTTTGTGAAAATCAGCCTCGCCATCCTCAGTCACTTCTACATCGTGAAAGGCAACCGCAAGGAGGCGGCCAGGATCGCAGCTGAATTTTATGGAGTGACCCAAGCCCAAGGTAGGTCTCCCTAAGGCGGCTTCAGGCCCAGGCCACCTCCTGCTCCAGCCACCATCCTGGTGGCATGTTGTGCTCTCCCACCTGCTTCAAAGCCAACATGCCCCCCAAATGTCCCCTTACCAAAAGGAAAAAATAAATTTGTTAACCTCGTGGCTTCATAAAGAAAGAAAATCAGTTTGCTGTATAAAGGTCCGAGTTGATAAAATCAAGGTATGGTTGCAAAGTGGCCGAGTGGAAGCCTCCCACGGAGTGTGTGTTTTTTATTATCATCAAAATCTATTTAAAACTTGAATTAAAAAGTATTTTAAAACCTGAAACATTCCATCGGCCACGCTCTAATGTGAGAGGTTTCGATTACTGATTGTGTACTTCAACTATCCTTTCCCATGTACCCAGGCTTTTATGGTATTTAAATCGACTCCTTAGCCATATGGTAAGCGGTTGCTATTGGGAAGAGAAGATTTGGAAGGTTTTAATTGTTGTTCACGACTTTTGTTTGGCCGAGATCATAGGATAAAATGCAGTGTGTCGAGTGCTAAGAGTTATGGCATGTGTTTCCCTGGATGGAACTGTCACTGCTTTGCTCAACTTGTAAAAAGTCGACTATAAGAGGACAGGAACAAGAATTAACAAATTGTGTGCGTGTAGCCAGATATATCCATCCACGTTTCTTAGAAGAAATTGAGCTATGAGACTAAAGGAGAAACAATCATTTGAACCATAGACCTGAATGGTTACAAATGCATTTACACTCTACTGGACGATATTCTATGCAATAAAAACAATTGTTCTGGTGACCTTCAAGGTGACATTTTTAATTCCTCGCAGCTTTTTGATTAATTTCTGGTTTGAACATCAGCGGGCAAGTACGCACATTGTAGAGCCCAAATACCTCGATACCTCTAAAGTAACTTTCAATTTCAGATCAAAATACACTATCACCAAATTAAAGAACTTTTTTTTTAAGAGCACTCAGAATGGAAAGCTTGCTTTTTAAAATCTATTTTGTCTGTCTTTTCAGTTTGTGGAATATTTCATTTTTGAATCTAGGTTACTCTGTAGGTACATGGAAAGCTGAATCAAGGTAGAAAATATTTTTTGGTGTGTGGGGTGGATAATAAATTCATTCTGGCTAAGGAAGAGTGTTCTTATGCCAAGTGAGGAATTTATGGACACACTAAAAATAAGGAAAATCTAAATAGTGGTATGAAACTCCCACAAAAAGCTGGGTCTACTTGAACAGGCAATATGTACTCCTTCACCTGGCAGCCCTGCTTCCGAAGGGATGAAACTATTTAAATGTGGCACATACTACGTAGGTAAATGGAAGGTTTTGTTTCAAGAGCAGCAAACATAGGAAATTAGATTTTAAAGCCAAAACCATACTCCTAGATATAAGATTAAATCATATACTCATAAGGTGATAAGACCTACTCTCCTAGGTCCCCAATAGCACATTACTTCATAGTCGAATCTTGTCTACTTGTGACGGGAATTGCTATAGATATGCATGTGAAAAGTTGGCTAAAAATCCACACGTTCTGTGGAGTGACAGTGTTTTAGAGAAAGCTACGGAAGCTCCTTTTAGTACAAATTCATATATAACAGGAAACAGTTGTCCTCTGTTTCACCTGATCTCAGTGCACTTAGGCTGGAAATCACAGGAATATATGAGATGGCTTCCATGGTCCCATCTAGTTTTATGGGTCTGTGTTAAGATATATTAGAATTCTAGGATTATGTCCCAAAAAGGAAAGAAAGAAATCAATACTCACTAGTGGGAATTATTTTCCTGGGAATATAAATTGGGAACACAAGGTCTTTAAAATTTTTGCTTTATCTTATTTTAATATTTATTTAACACAATTCTTCTTTCTTATATCTTGTATTAATCTATATATTAAATAATAGAATATATTACCATGATTTTCCTTCAATGCAAGCACAGTCTCCAATTTTATTGTAATATTAGGAGGATAAACTAATAATTTAGAACTTACAAAGTCTTTTTTTTCTTTTTTTTTACAAACTCTTTCTTCATCTCCTACTTCTAAGAGTTAATTTTTCTTTGCCTAGGAAACTATTAATTTCTTCATTTTGACATAGCTCTTCCTTTTATTTACTACAATTAAACTGTTTTAATTTTGTTTATATTTTTATAATTAACCAATCAGGCTTAATTATCTTTGTTTAATCTAGCAATTTCCTCCTTCCTAGGAGAGATTATCACCTTCATTCCACTTTGAATTAGGCTTCTCATTCCTACTTTCAAGACTTAGCCAGATTGTTCCCCAACATTTCTGACGTGGAGTTGTCAAATTCCATGAAAGACGAGATGATATGTGTATTTTCATATCTCATAACCACAGAGACCCCGTTGACAACATTCTGGATGTCCTCTCCATGCCATAGAACTTCGGTATGAAGTAAAAGAAACTGTGTCTTAGTAGATGCTATTGCAAATCAACTCATTGTATTTGAGCGATGCAAGGTAGGGTTGGTTTTTTTTGTTTGTTTGTTTGTTTGTTTTTGTTTTTTTTTTTTTCCAAATGCTTTCTAGTCAGGCTTGAGACCGAAGTTATGACTTCACAAGGATGCTGGAAGCTAAACGGCAGCTACAATAGTTTAAGATTATTCCCTTTTTGATTTCCTTGAGATGCCAGTAAAACTTACAAATCAGCTTCTTCATGTTTTATACCAAAGACTTTTATCAACTCCACCTTCACATTGAAGGGACCTATTTATTACCCCCTTCTCTATACCTACTTCCTGTATCTTTCTTGCTGTTAAATGTCCTGGTTACAGTCTCTAAAATATCAGAGGAGTAGTCTATTTTTAAAGCTAGCACTATACTTTGAGACTGACCGCGAGGCTAATAGGAGTTGAAAGGTGTTTTCAGCTGTAGTGTCAAACAGTACATCGATTTTAGGAAATCACTCCAAGAGCCCCCCTTGGAACTAACGCCCCCAAGGACACTTCAAGAGGCAGCAGCTCTGTTCTGTTAAGGGTGATACTTTCCACATTCCATCTTGGGCTCTAAAGGAAGTTCACTAGTGTTACCTACAAATGGACAGGGCCCGTCCTAAGTACCTGTTTTATGAGCCCCCCGCTGGTATCAAGGCACTGAAAAAATAAGGTATGAGAAGGCAAGGTGTATTTTTTTCCATCTGTGAGTAGCTTATTCTAATGGAAGAGGCAGATCTTGAGTTGACGCCACGAATGAGCAGAGACAGGGATTGGGGATGCTCACAGAATATTAAGAAACAGGGGCACCGGGTAGCTCAGTGGTTGAGCATCTGCCTTCGGCTCAGGTCATGACCCCAGGGTCCCAGGATCGAGTCCCACATCGGGCTCGCTGCATGGAGCCTGCTTCTCCCTCTGCCTATGTCTCTGCCTCTCTCTCTGTGTCTCTCATGAATGAATGAATAAATAAATCTTTAAAAAAGTATTAAGAAACAGTGGATTTTACTGGAGCGAAGGTTCACGCAGCACAAAAAAATGATGATAAATTGGGCGCAGATACAAAAGAATTCGAATGGAAGGTTCATGCAGCACAAAAAATGATTATAAATTGGGCACAGATACAAAAGAATTTGAATGGCAGGTTAAGCAATTAGAGCACAACTTTGAAAGACTTAAAAGAGTTTTGGTGTGAGTGAAAGCGGGAAAATGGGAAAAGACATGTATAAAAACTTAATGTAAAGTACATGTACATATAGTAGTGATGTTAGGAGTCTGACCGCGGGACAAGCTTGAAGCAGGGAAACCACTTAGGCTCCTGCCGTGGGGGGATGAGAAGCCAGGCTCCCCTGGTGGTGGGGGTGGGGGTGTGGACAGAAAAGAAAGAATGATATACGAATAAGTAAAAAGAAGAGAGGCGCCTGGGTGGCTCAGTCTGTTAAGCCAGTGCCTTTGGCTCAGGCTGTGATCTCGGGGTCCTGGGAGGGAGCCCTGCCTAGAGGAGCATCGGCTCCTCCCTCTCCCTCTGCACCTCCACCTGCTGCTCATGCCGTCTCTCTCTCTTTCTCTCTCTTTCAAATAAACAAAATCCTTTGAACAATAAAATAAAAAGGAGAAAAGAATAAATCTGATGATAGCTTTAAATGGCATTGGCAAAGAGAGCAGATGTGACTTTAGGGGAGCTGCTTGTCTCTCAGAATTGGATACAGACACACCTAAAGGAAAAATATGTCAATCTGCAGAGGGCTTGATTAGCGATGCGGGCACAAGGGAGGCTGCGGGCCTGGCCTCTTAGTGCTTGGTGAAGCTGCGGGGTCACCTTCCCCTCCCTCCCCCGTGGAAGGTCAGGGTAAATCGGAAAGGAACAATCTGCACCCTCCTCTTACGTTTGATTTAGTTCTGTATTCCTTTTGTTTCACCAAGTAACCTTCTGATTAGGGTTTGGCTCTTCCCGTAGATCTGTCCCCCAAAAAAAGAATGAGCTGGCTTGTTCCCAGGAGTGTGTGACTCCCTCTGACATTTACTCCCCTTCTTGTAAATTAATAGGTTTGCATCCCCCTATCACTCTTTGGTGGTGTTTCATGTTCTTTGAGCAGTAAGTCCACCTCTGACGTGTGAATTTGCTCCAGCTTTAGCTGATAGATCGGGTTTCTGAGCCTGCAAGGCCACAGACCAGATTTTACACTGTGGAAAATTCATCAAAGTAATGCCTCTCTGTGAGGCTGCTTGAAAAACAATCCTCGTGACATCCAGACTCTTCAGGCACTCCCCTCACGGCGGAGACTTTATATAGAATACAGAGTGCATGGATAAATAATCACCTGACACTATCTCTTTTTGCGACTTCATAGATTTGGTTTTTAAGCACACAACTTTTTTTTTTTTTTTTGTGACCTGTCTTATTGTTGACACTTGAAAATAGGCTGTGGTGTAAACTTGCCACCACAAGTCAAATGGCAAAAGTGCTGGCTGTGTTTTGGAGAATGGTGTCAGTGGGATGGGAAAAAAGCAGCTAGAATTTTATATGATGCAATATCATG